CTCGTGCTGTAATTACAGGTCTCCACGGGAGACTTCAGTAATGATTGTTCGGACCAAGCAAGATGTCCCCACCAAGCCTAACTGCTCTTCCTGACCGTGCCGAAAATGGTGCAACTCACCAATGCACATCATCGTCACAAACTTTGTGGAACCCTCATCAGGTACTTCGAATTGTTGCGTTTCTGGTATTGGGGGTGGCTGAAAGAGTGGAAGTCAAGGATACGGTATGCACTTGATACGGAAAGAATTCCTAAGCCAAAGTTGGCTCATACTTACCATGGTCACTCTATTGAACTGATCGACCATTGGTGTGAAGTAGTCGTCCCAAATTTGTACCGTCGCTGTGTATTCGCCCATTTTGCTCTGGATACGGTATCCTTCGAGTGTCAGCCGAGGTTCGAAGATCATAGAGCGCTCGTTGAGCAGGGTAATTCGACAAACGACGTATTCGTCCCGTTGATCGTAAATGCTAGAACATTACTAGAGCTGTGTTACTTCCGAAATGGCTCCATGTCGGGTACCTTTTGGCATCATCCAGTATCAACTAGTATCATCTCATATCATCAACACCAAATCGACAATATCAAGTAGTATCATTTATTAGCAGATAGTATTGGCCATTATCAACTTGTCAAGTAATATTAACTTGGAAATAAATGGCGTTGAACTACCTGTCCTAGTATACGCCACGTATTCGATTTGCAATCAGAGTCAAGGAACCAATCGCAAGCTTCCAGATTACCCACAGTCCTGTGCGCTGCGCATGCTAGGGCGTGTTAGGAGAGTGGCTTGGCGCAACTCTCTCCCTTTTCCACCAATTGTTAAGCACATAAGGCACAGCAGTTGCTGGAAAACGGGACGGCGCCGCGCCAAATCCAGCTCCTCTCCCAGGGCTAGAAGGAGTTTGGAGCAGTGTCTCCGACACTCCCAGGCAAACTTATTTTCGTAGAGAATGAGACGATTCTGGTTGATTCGCTCGCCCACTAGAGATCGAGAATTTTCCTGAGAAGGTTCTAAACTTCAGAGATGCGCAACTCTC